GAGGCAGAAATAGAAGCTCCCATCAACAGATGTGTGGATACATAAACCATGACATAGGCACAAGTATCAGATGTTAGTCACTATGTAATATTAAAAGACAGGGATGAACCCAGGAAACACCGGGCATTGTGCATGATGAGGACATTAAGCTGAGGGAAGGAAGTCAACCACAAAAGCAGAAACATTGTATCAGACCTCTATTAGAATAGGTTAAGGAAAAGTTTACACACAGAAAGAAAGTTTCTGTGGGGTTACTCGGCATGGGAGCTGGGAAAGGCAAAATCCCTAACTGGACAGCTGCTGGTGCTGTTGTTGCTTGCCACAGAGTGGGGACCGGCTCAGAGCTGCCCCACCAACAGGTGTTCAGAGGTTGCACATCACTCAGGAGGACATGGCCCAGCTTTCTCTCACGGAGCAGGTGATGGGTCAGCACTATGCCCTTTGGGTGAGCAATGCTGTTCCTTATCCACTAGGCCATCGGGGCTCTTCAAGAGCAGGCTTATTAATTTAGGTGGTAAAGGCAATACATGGTAAGAGGAAGGTCAGCACAGCGTGGCCAAGGCTGAGGAAGGCACTGGGAAGTTTGCAAGAGCGAAAGGAGATGATGACAAATATGATTATGTTCTAAATCATCACTCGACCAATAAGCAACATCATGCTTGATGGGGAAAAGACTGAAGTTGTCAATGATGTCGCTTCACTTCCATTCACGATCAACACCCATGATAACAGCAGTCAAAAAAATCAAAACATGTGTTGCATTTAGGAGATTGGCTGTCAAGGAAGCTCTCCAAGGTGTTAAAGAGCAAAAATGTCAGTTTAAAGACTAAGGTGTGCCTGATCTAAGCTACGGTAGTTTTCTGTTGCTTCCTATTCATCTGAAAGTCAGACAATGAGCAAACAACAAATGCTGGCGAGGTTGTGGGAAATTACTGGAACCCTTATTCACTGCTGGTGGGAGTGTAAAATGGTGCAACCACTCTGGAAGACAATAAGGCGCCTTATCAAAAAGTTGGAAATAGAAATACCATTTGACCCAGCAATTGCACTACTGGGAATATACACTAAAGAAACCAGAGCTGCCATCCAAACAGGTATATGCACACCCATGTTTATTGCTGCGTTGTTCACAATAACAAAGAGATATAAACAACCCAAGTGTCCATTAACAAACGAATGGATGGAGAAGCAGTAGTATATTCACACAGTGGAATGCTATGCAGCACTGAAAAACAAGGAACTAATAAAATATTATACAAAATGGGTGACCCTGGAGGATATTATTCTGAGTGAAATATCTCAGTCACAAAAGGACAAATACTGCATAATGCCACTGTTATGAAATAGAACTGACATGGGAATTGGGGAAAAACAAAGAAAAGAGGGAATAAATAATGTATACTGCATTGAAACAGATGAGAAAAAGAACTGTTTAAAAAGGGATATATGATTAGGGACTGTTCACATGACAAGAGTCCAGAATAAGAGGTGCATAAGCAAAGTGGACTGGGGTGGAGGGAGGACACTGCAACAATGAAAGATTTTTTCTTTTCCTTCAAAGAGAAAAGCAAATTGAGGGGGTGGGTAGGGAAGAAAATGTGCAACAATGAATGAATGAAAATCCAAGTTCTCTCTAAATTAAAAAAATAAGTCAGACAATGAGTAAAGATGCAGAAGTGATGCCTCTAAAACATGGTGTTGGCGAAGAGCACTGACTATCTCAGCGACGGCCAGAACAACAAACAAGCTTGGGTTGGAGGAAGTGCCACCAGAGGGCTCCTCAGAAGGCAGGATTTTGAAACTTCATCTCACAGACTGTAAGTACGGTGTCTGGAGGAAGCTGTTCTTGAACAAAGGCATCATGCTGGAAAAGTCGACGGTCAGAGAAAGAAAAGATCCCCAACAGGACACAGCGACATGGTGATTGCAGCAATGGGCTTGAGCGTATCAGAGATCCTGAGGGTGGCGCCGGATAGGGCAAGGGCCAAACCTGTTGTTCAGAAGGTCGCAGTAGACTCCATGGCACCTACCACCACCACCACCACTACCAGCACCGCCACCATCACCACCGCAGCCGCCGCCATCACCACCATCACTGCTGCCACCACCAGCACCACCCCCACCACACCCCTCTATTATATGCACAATCCTACAAAAACAAATGGTACTTTACCCCCAAAGAAACCATAACTGTCACCCAAGCAGATATATGCACACCCATGTTCATCTCGCCTTTGTTCACAATAGCAAAGAGTTGGAAACAACCCAAGTGCCCATGAACAAATGAATGGATAGAGAAGCTGTGGTATATTCACACAATGGAATACTACGCTACACTGAAAAACAAGGAACTCATGAAGTATTATACTAAATGGGTGACGCTGGAGGACATTATGCTGAATGAAATATCACAAAAGGACAAATACTGCATAGTGCCACTGTTGTAAAATAGGACTGACTTCGGGGTTGGGAGAAACTAAGGGGAGATAAAGAATG